CAGACATAGCTTGCTCAGATTTGGTCAGAGATGACTTCTGGACCCGGGTCCTGAGGGCTTGGCGCCAACTCCCGTTGCCCGACCAACCCCCACCAACTAGGTGGGAGGAGGTGATGCGTCAACCCTTTTGGGGGAACAGGAGGATAATAGACCGGTACAGCAGGGTGTAGCACAGCTTAGACACCCTGTGGAACATGGGTCAAAAAAGGCATAATTAGAATAAAGGAAATATGAAACATAGAAGTGGGGGATTGAAAAACGGGGCCACAACTGATAATGCTTGAACACTGCCACAAGGTTGAGGAGAACTTGGATGTGCTGATCGTTGTCGTCCCCCTTAACTGGGTGCGCATTCTACGCAAAGGGCCACGACTAATAGAAGGTGATTGGGAGCTGCCCCAGAGGATTCAGAAAGTGTAGGCAATGTGGTGGAGGTATGAGCAGACGAAACGCGGGTAAAACTCTTCCACATAGGCAAGGTAAATAAGCGCACCCGTTACTTCCCATAAGTGATGAGATGGTGGAAAAATGCAGACTTGCACAGGATACGCGTACTGCGGGATAAAGACAATTGGATTGCATATCAGTCAAATACCCCCGTGGTGAAGCTTCCCTTTGGCTCTGACGAATGGCAGTGGGTCCCCAGGTGAAAGCCCAGATCGGGGACAAATTTAAATTTACACACTCGAACGGTGAAGGTCACATATCGTCTGCCACAACCAAAGGTGAACATAAAAGAAATAGTGAAAACCCGATGAAGGTCACACTTTAATGTGGGGATTGAGCCAATCCACCCGATCCGATGGTTCACCGCCACAAGGTCGAGACCTGCGAAGATGACCTCTCTTCAGTGGCAGATAGAACACCGTTGCCTTCCAACTCATGATTGGTTGATAGACCGCACGTATCTGGAGCAAAAGGGGCAAGCGTTAACTTGGTGTAAATTATGTCACACTGTTTTCCCTACCCGCAGAATTCCTGAAACCATAGAGCACATATTCATGCAGTGCCCAGGGGCAGTTCTCACATGGCGATGGTGGGATAGGATATGGACCCTGTTGGGTAGTGATTCTAACTGGCCATGGGATTTGAGGGCCATATTATGCGACGCATGGTCCTCCCCCACTGATAACTCCTTTAAAAACAACATGTTCAAGCTAGGAAGGAGAGCGATCATGTGGACACTATGGAAAAACAATGTATACATGCCATGGAGGGTGCCCGCATAACTGGGGAAGAGGCAATGAACATGATAAGGCAATACATTCAACAAGAACTCATGGTTGAATGAGAAAAGATTAAAAGCCAACTCGATTCATATCATTCAGCAAAGGATATAACATGTGGCGGATCCATCGGGTGTGGTGCTCCGCCAAGGATAGAGATGGAGATGGAGGAAGAAGGGGAGCGAGATGGCACAGCGGCTCCCACGCCAGACTCCAATGCACGTACTATAAATTGTGCGAATGCAAAATGAATCCGAAAATAGACAACAATTGGGGTATACCCCAGCGGACTGACGGGACTGGACTCGACTGGCTGGTACCGACAGAGATACGGGCCTGGACTGGACTGCCCTGAATGGAACACAGGTCTGTGAGAACAGGCCAAGGGGCTGGTCTCACAGGCCAACGAGAGGTCCGCTACACGATCCTCGGCCTGTGATGGATCGCCTAGATACAAGCACGCTTCCGCCAAGAAGCGGAACTCTACCAAAAAAGAAAACATGAGTAGTCTAGGATGCGGAGCAAGCTCCATGCTGAGTCCATGTGATGCAACCTAGAATAGAAAATGTGACAAAACAACAATGTCACAACTAACAGCCTAAGTGAAAGCAAAATTAACTAACTAGTATATATGTCATAGGAAAGCAAGAAGTAAGGATAGCTAGATCCTCGAATGTTTGAGGCAGTAGCCTCAGTCTGGGAACAACTGACTAGTGCATAAGTCCTAAGAACAGCAAAAGCAGAACAACTAAATCCTAGAAATGTCAGAGGCAGTAGCCTCAGTCTGAGAGCAACAAAGCAACAAGACAACCATATGTCACAGGAGGTGTGTGTCGCAAACCAAAGGGTGGGATGGTCTCTGAGGGTGGCGAATGCAGCCTAGCGGTCGACAGCTCCTAAGGGCATCCACACATAGTGTCAAGGAGACACATCTCATCAGGCTCAATGAGGGTAAGGAACTGGGAGCGAACAGAACCAATGACCCTAACAGATAGACCATCAGGGCGGGTAATGCTCGACTAAAGGGGTGACCGCTATGGAGGGTCGACCATGCAAGGGAACAAGGGAGCCTAGTATACTGGGCGCACCTAGATGAAGCATGCGGGGCTGCCTAACTAGGGCGTGAGGGCCGGCAAAGGGTAGAAAGATGATGGGTAAGAGAATCATGCAAATGACTCCTAAAGTGAGGGAAGTCGGAGCTAGATTCGTAAGTTGGGAAGTTAGGGCAACGCTTCGGTCCCGATGCCTATGTGTATACCAAGGGAGAGCCCAACTCAGAGGAACCCGGCGAAGGGAGACCATCATGCGACACAACCAGGGTATTATACAGGGTAAAGTGGTAAGAGAGTGATGACGCCTGAAGTAAGCGGAGCTGATCGAGACGAAGTCCATGAAGCTGCCGATGACGTTCATGATGAGAAGTCCAGAATGTCGTCGAGGAAGAGCCGCAACGTCGACGAGCTGAAGTAGCAAAACTGATGTGGATGGAGTACTGAGAAGTCAAAGACGTGGGAAGGTAAGTCAGAGTCAATTGTCGTATCGAGCAGGACGACGACGAATGCGTTGTGGACGCTCAGAAGCATCCGGCTGCTGCTGAAGGTGTGCCTCAGAAGGTGCAGACTCGACTTCAGCGGTCTCCTTAGCCGAGGGAGAAGGAGGGTCAGTGGGCTGAGGGGGAGCAGTCGACCCAGCACGACGAGCATGGTCATAGGCACGCACCAACATGCGAGCGTGCTGCAAGTGCCCATGGGGAGGGTTGTCGTCGGTGACTCGGCGACCAATGATGTCTAAAATGAGGAACTCCTCATGGTCGTCCACCATGATGGGTGGAGGGCGCTCGTATGGTCGTCCATCGAAACACTCAGACGGTCTGCGGTAAGGGCGCAGTAACGAGACGTGGTAGACATCGTGCACACGAGCCTGGCGTAGGTAGTCGGGCAGCTTCACACGGAAGTTGACCGGGCTAGATGTCGTATTAGAACCGATGGCCTGGAGGATGCGGCATGGGCCAAAGAAGCGACACCGAAACTTGCGAAGCGTGTCCGCTTCAAGCTGTAAGTGGCGGGCGTCGATAAGCACATCATCACCAACTTTGAATGGATGATCCATCCTCGATCGGTTCACGCGTGCGACTATGCGAATATAGGAAGCGACTATGTGCTCATGTGCGGTCTTCATGATCGACGTCATGTGTGCAACCCAATCATCCAGTGCGGGACAACTCGTGTCGGGGTGCATCTGTGACGGTCGAAGGAAGTCCGCGGGAACACGACTCAGAGGGTGATAGCCGAGGTCGCAATAGTAAGGCGACATCCCCGTGACTGGCAAAACGGCGTGGTTGTAGGCTATCTCCGCGTGGGCAAGATGAAGATCCCACTGCTGGTCGTCACGAACAATCTTTCAGAGAATATCTCCGAGAGTCTTGTTCATGATCTCGGTCTGACCATCAATCTGAGGACGGTAGGACGAGGAGAAGCGGAGCTAAGTGCAGTATACGTCGTGGAGCCGTCGCCAGAATCGGCTGGTAAAGCGCGGGTCACGGTCGGATATGATGCTCAAAGGTAAGCCGTGGTCTCGCACGACTCGGTCAAACACGATGTCGGCGACCTCACGTGCACTGATGGCATAGCGGCACGAAACAAAACGTGCACGCTTCATGAAGCGGTCGACGACGATCTGGATAGCATCATGACCGCGAGGGGTCGGAGGTCGAAAAGGACCGAGAAAGTCCTGCAAACGACCCTTAAGGATAGGAAGAGGTTGGAGCAAACCATAAGGCAAGTGGTTCGCACTGTTCACCTCCTGACAGTTGGGACACTCTGCGACGTAGTCCTTCACAAAGTTTTTACGCTTTGGCCAGACGTACAGACAGGACACACGAGCCAACAACTTGTGAAAGTCCATATGACCGGCGGCTGCCTGGTCATGAAACTTTGCTACTGCTCGGACACGTAGCGGTCCAGTGAAGGGAACGCAAATACAGGGCTCTTTGGTGCCTTGTGAACCGTGCTAGTACACAAGACCGTTGTCCCCGAGAGAGTAGTTCGGGACGGTCTTGCCACTCCGAAGGGTCGCGTGGCTGTTGCGATAGTCGGGGCAGTGGCAGTACTGAGTGCGAAACTCGTCAATCACCGAGTGGTGGACGGTGGTGACCGAGATGGAAGAGAGCTGGATCTGCTCCTGGTTGTGGTCAGGGCGCCGGGATAAGGCATCGGCGACCCGATTAACCCTTGATGTGCTCCGTGGTGAAACTAAACAAGGATAGGTCGCGCCACCAGCGAGCCTGTCAAGGAGTGAGCTTCGGTTTTGTCAGAAAAGTCTGGACAACGGAGTTGTCCGTGCGCACCGTTAATGGTGCCCCGTGCAGGTAGTGACGTCAGTGTCGAGCGGCATAAACTAATGCGAGGACCTCACGTTCATCAGCGGTGTAGTTTATCTCGGCGGGCAGGAGCTGACGGAAGTAGAAGGCTATCGGACAATCACCTGAGGGAGACTCGACAGTGCCGTCCTCGGCGATGGTAGGAAAATAGTCAATAGAAGGCTCGTCAATGGCTGGACGAGTAGGCGTCAGGCGGATGCAGTGGTAGGGGTAGGGGGTGGGAAGCGAGGGATACGAGGATGGGAGGAATCAGGAGAGGAGGGGAAAATTTGAGAAAGTACTGCTCCTACAGCAAAGTCTGACATATCGGTGGTAAGGATAAAAGGGCGATCAAAATCGGGTAGGTGAAAAACTGGTGCGCATGTCACCGCCTTCTTGAGGGCGCGGAAGGCGTTCTTGTGGAGGGGTGTCCAAGCCTAGGGCGGGTTCTTCCGGAGGAGGGTGGAGGTAAGGACATAGGAATACCTAGCGTATTCCTAGATGAAATTACTATAGTAGCTGGTAAGGCCTAGGAAGTTGCGAAGCTGCTTGGCGGATGTGGGGACGGGCCACTCCGCAATAGCAGTGATCTTCGCGTCGTCCATGTGGAGACCNCTGGTAAGGCCTAGGAAGTTGCGAAGCTGCTTGGCGGATGTGGGGACGGGCCACTCCGCAATAGCAGTGATCTTCGCGTCGTCCATGTGGAGACCATGGTCAGCCATGTAGTGTCCTAAGAAATCCACTTTGTATTGAGTAAAGCGGCACTTGCTCAACTTGGCGTAGAAGCCATGTTTGCGCAAGAGCTTAAGGACGTCGCGGAGGTGTCTGAGGTGCTCCTCAAGGATATCGTCAAGGTAGACTAGAACATACTGCTCCAGGATGTCCCTGAAGATGTCGTTCATCGCCCTCTGGAAGGAAGCGGGTGCGTTGGTGAGCCCGAATGGCATCACCGTAAACTCGTAGTGACTGAAGCGCGATCGGAACGCTATCTTCAGCTGGTCCGCTGCAGTGATGCGGATTTTATGGTAACCACTACGAAGATCAATCTTCGTAAAGAAGCGGTTGGCTTCTAGGCAGTCGAACAACTCGTCGGAACGAGGCATGGGGTAGCTGTTCTTAACCGTGTAGCGGTTGCAGAGACGGAAAGTTCTATCCGCTTTGCGAGCAAAGAGGACGGGTGCACCCCATGGGGAGTTGCTAGGTTTAATGAAACCCTGTCTCAGGAACTCCTCAAGCTGACGCTTGAGTTCAGTGGCCTCGGGGATCGAGAGTCTGTAGGGTGCCTCGTGGTGAACACGATAGTCAGGCACAAGCTGGATGGAGTGCTCGACGTCGCGCATCGGTGGGATGCCGACGTACGAAAACGATGATGGAAAAACGTCGTGGTACTCTCGAATGAGGTCACGAACTAGGGGCTCCAGGTCAGCCGTGTATCGTGCGAGTTCCTCGGCGTCAGCGTCAGCGCGTGACGGTGGGGTGGAACTTAGAGATGGGAGTCATGGAGATAGAAGGATGGCACTAGAGGGATGAGCTCGGCGTCGGGATAGGGTGGATCATAGTGTAAGAGATCCATCACGTTCACCATAAAGAAGGTGACGTCGTCCCGTCGGATGAAGTGAGCAAACTGCTGAGGCGAGGTGACAGTGATAGAAGGACATGATCTGGGCACGGAAGGCTCCGGGGGAGGAGGATCGGGGCTTGGTGTCGCAGTGGTATCTATGAAAGGTACGCAGTACGTCTGTCCACACTTCGTTTTGAAAACGATAGTGTTGGTCGCCCAATCCGCCTCGGTGATGCGGAACCGAGGAGACGACGGAGTACGGAGAATGAAGTCGTAGCATGTCTCCATCACATCGAAATGTGCGAAGGAGCGGTGGCGACGAGACGCCGGGGGACGATCAGTCGGCTTGAGAGTGAGGAAGACAGGGAGGTCGGTGACCGTCTGATCGAAGAAGTGCTGAGTCTTGTCATCCCCTAGGGTGACAGAGATGGGAGTCAGAGACCCTGTCGTGTGTAAGCGGGCTTCTTTCACCACACGTGGGTGAATGAAGTCGCCCTGAGAACCGGAATCCCACAGCGCTGAGTACACCCTCGTGGAGGTCCCCAGTCGTACGGGGATTCTCGGGAGGGTGCGATCAGGGTCAGCAAGGATGGTGAGAAGGCGACGCACTGCAGCGACATGGAGGGTGAGTCGCTCCAGACGAGCCTGGAGCATGCTCAAGTCCCGAAGAGAGGACACAACGTCCTCACGAAGCGTAAGCTGCTCGCTGCAACGGGCTGAGCGAATGGCTCGACGAGTCGGTAGTCGCGACGGGGTAGAAGGGGGGACGGTGGTCTGTGGAGGCGCAGATGTTACTACGACAGAGGGTTGAGTACACTCTGCCGGGTCCTGCGATACCTCAGCTCCAGTAGCGAAAGGGGCGAACCGAGACGGCGATGTCGGGAAGCCCACTACTGAGGAGGGCGCAGGTGTACACTTCACCGTGGCTAGGAGGCGGCGCGGGGATGGGAGGCGCCGGGGGGGTCTGAGCACGATGCTGGCGGGAAAGGTCAGCGTAGTGGCGGTCGAGAGCGGCAGTGTAAGGGCACCACGAGGAGGTATGACCGTCCTGGCGGCAGCGCAACCACGCACGCCGGCCAAAATGGTCGCGCGCTCCTCAGCGGAAAGAACACCGTGAGGAAGGACAAAGCCCTGAGGGAGGTCTTGTTGAGGGACCTCGGGGGGCGACACGCCTGCGTGACCGGGGCGGCTGCGTGCCCGAGAGAGGGTAGAGAGGATGAGTTGCAGGCGCTCGGCCATAGGGAGAGTAGAGTTCTCCAGGTGGTAGGACGGCCTCGCCGCGGTCGAGGTCGTCGCTATGGTCACCCTCGGGCGACAGCGGGGCAACAGCGTCCTGCTCACCATACTCGAGCGCGCTGAAGCGGCGCGAGAAGTGGCGGCCCTGCTGCGCGGAACTACGGGGGCGACCGCGGAAAGGGGAACGGCGCTAGGAAGTGTCGTGAGAGGAGGACGGGGCGTAACCAGTTCACAAAGGCTGGGAGGAGGAAGTGGGTTGAAGACAGGCCCGCATCCGCTGATCGTCCCTGGCGGCGTCGTAAGCCTGCGGGGCCACTGTGAACTCGTACCGCCATAACTCGGAGCGGTACTCGAGCGGAAGGCTGGCCAAGAAACGATCGATAAGGGAAGCCTTGGGGAGGAACTCCACGCCGCAACCAGAGCCAGACCAGCGTGTAGTGACGACACGCTCGAAGGCGTTAGTCACGTCATGTCGGGCTCCGAAGTGATTCTCGGGGAACGCCTGGAAATCCATGAACGTCTGAGTTCGACCCGCATGAAGGGAGTAAGAGTAAAAATCCTCCCAGGCGTCAAAAGGACTGTCACGCAGGCGATGGAGGGGTGACCCACCCACGTGTCGGGTGGGGCGCCCATGAGTTGGAGGGTGCGGGTGGCGGACTGTAGCCACCGAGACATGCGTATGCCAGTACCGTTATATAAGGCAATGTTCGTCAAGCGGACGAGTGGTGCGCCACCGTTTTAGTGGCGAGGGGATCGAGGAGCAGAGGCATGTGTCACGACTGAGTAAGTTGGTGCAGGTTCTGGAGAAAGGGGCGCAGCTGACTGTGCGCCCGGGCCGCATGGGGGAACGACGGGGGTAACAGCGGCACGCTGCGAGGGAGCTGCGGTAGAAGAGGTCGCAGCAACCGCGGGAATAGAAAGAAGGTAGGATGGGGCTGGATAGGGTGCAGGCCGAGGGTAGCGAGCCTGCATGGAAGGAAGAGTAGAGGAAGGAGGGGGTGCGCCCGAAGGCGCGGCCACCTGTGAGGGTGGGGGTGGCTGAAGGCGTAAAAGGGCGAGGTCGGCCCGGGTCTAGGCAAGCTTATCCTCGAGACGTTGGACGTAGATCGAGCGAGGGGTGGCAGGAGGAAGAGTGGGGGGAGTGGACGCACGAGCGGCGCGGGGCATCCCACAGGGGGGAGTGCCAGGTGGCGCTATGGTCGTGCGAAGGGGAGGGAGAAGCGGGGCACCCGAAAAAGTTGAGACCATAGTAACGGGTTGTGGTCCCGTGGCCATAGTCACGGGAATTTGGGCGGGTGCGCCCGTAGACTGAGGGAGGGCCTGACCCGTGGCGGTCGTCGTGCTAGGAGTGTGGATGGTCGCCAGGATGGCCGGGTCGGGGGCGGCAGAGGAGGAAGCTCCGCCATGGCCACCATGACAGAGGACGGGGGACCCGGACTAGGAGCCAGGAGAAGAGAGAGAGTGAGGAGAGGAAGGAAGGCCAGCGTCCGGGAGTTGCCACAGGTCAGCGGCAAGAGTCGCCATTTGCTCTTGTAAGGGCGCAAGGAGGGAGGTGATGAGGGTGTGCAGGTCCCCCCTGGGGCTGGTGGCCCTGGTCCGTCGGCACGGGTGTAGAGCCCGATGCCGAGGGCGTCGCGATCTCGGCGGCTTGTGACATGTCGTCGGCCGTGGGGAGGTAACGGGCCGGGCTAGGGAGGGCCGGAGGAGGTCCGCGTGAGCGGAGGGCGTAGGGGGTTGTCTGCGATAGAAAGCGACGGGCGGCACTAGTAAATCGAGTGCGGGCGCCGTCAAAGGGGGAGGTGTGGTTCGGATCTGGGGTGGCCGAATGAGAATGGAAAATAGGGGGGTTAGAAAAACCCTAAGAAAACCCTAACCGAAGTTTGAGTGGTTAGGGTAGTGTGCCGAAAATAGTTAAGAAAATAAAATATCAGGCGTAGGGGGGGAAGGCGGGAGAAAAATAAATAAACAGCGAGATTTCAAGAGAATAAATAAATAAATAATAAAAATAATTAAGAAAATAAGGAAATAAAATATGAAGAGAAAAATAATATTCATTTTTTTAGAATTTTCGGCAGCATTTCCCTAACCCCCATGGGGTCAAGAATGTGCCAAGGGGAAAGGAGAGACCAAGATAAGCACACTAGTTTCAAACTGCCGCAAATTAAAAATTTTAAAAAATAAAAAAATAAATAATAAATATATAAATAAATAAATAAATAAATAAATAAGTGGATGACGAGGTGGAGAGAAATGGAGTATTTGATTTTTCAAAAATATTGGCAGCATTTCGTTACCCCCATGGGGTCGAAGTGTGCCGAAAAAGACTAAGTAAGAGAAAAACATAAAATTTCGGCAACACTTCGTTACCCCCACGGGGCCAAAATGTGTGCCGAAAGCAAGAAAGACCAACTCCTAGTCAGATTTGAGGGTGCCGCAAAGAAATTCGAATTTTCAGAATAAATAAAAGAAAAAATAAAATAAATCAGAAAATGAGAGAGGAGGGGGGGGAATAAGATAATTCAAACTTTCGGAGAAAAGGAAAGATTTAAATCAAAGAGAAAGAAAAAGAAGAAAGCAGAAAAAATTGAAGTAGGGGGGTAAGGGAATGAAAAAGTGAAGGAGAAAAGAGAGAAAGAGTGAAGGGAGAGAGGGGGGAAGTGATGGGGTTGTTGGGGGAGAGAATGGGAGAGATAGGGATCAAGAAGCAGAGAGAGAAAAGGAGAAAGAAAAGAAATAAATGAATAAAATAGAGGGGAATAGTGGGGTGGTGGGAAAAAAGATGGGTGGGGAGAAGGGTACGAGTAGTGAGAGTAATTAGAAGGGAGTGAATGGGGTTAGTAAGAGGAGAGAGAGGAGGTAGAGAAAGGGGATTAATGGGGAGAGGGGAGAGGGAAGTGATACCTGGCCCTTGGTGTCTCCAAGGGCACAAGGTATACCAAGAGCAGGAGGGTCTTGGCCTTCGTGGCAGCAAGCCAGCTGGAGGAGAGAGGGGGCTGAGATCTTGATGAGCCCTTAGTAGCAGTACTGCAAATCTGCAGATCTAGGGTATGCTGTGTAAGCAGACCCGCACTGCCACGCCACAGATCCATACATGCAGTATGGTGAGTGTGTTATAGGAGTAGCTCACGCATGCGCAAGCCCAACCGGTGCTTGGGTTCAAACCCCAGCAACAGCAAGATCCCGGATCTTGATAATATAAATCCGGGAGCGGAGCGGGGCGGGGCAGCGGGGCAGCGTGGGCGTGTGCGGCGGCCTTGGCCTTGGCGCTCGGTGCACGCGTTCCTGATGACATGTGTTTTTTTCGCCACGTGTCACTTCTTGCTGCAGTTTCTTTTTTCCCTCGTTTTTGTCGAAAAACTGGCTAAAAACAGCCAAAAAAACGCCTGTCAAATTTTGTTGTTTTCCCGGCTGTACAGGGTGGTGGGTGGGAGCGGGGAATGTTCCTGCTTTGGTACCAGTGTGGCGGACCCACCGGGTGTGGTGCTCCGTCAGTGATAGAGATGGAGATGGAGGAAGAAGGGGAGTGAGATGGCACAACGCATCTCCCACGACAGACTCCAACGCACGTACTCCAAACTGTGCGAATGCAGAATGAATCCGAAAG